GCTCATGCATTGACGCTGCTGCAAAGGTTTTCGCCATTGTCACTCTCGGGCATTTTCGAAGTGTACATGACCTCTGGGTGAGGCCTAACCAGATTGAGTTCCGAGCTTTACGTAGATACACCACCTATTCTTAAGTTCTGGCACGGCTGCCAGCACCTAACAGTGGTCTGCTTTGTTAACTTCACCCTGGCATCCGATTCCCTATATTGCGAGTCCCTATGGCGGATTACGGGTCTGCAGGGTATTCCCACAGAAATCATTGCCGTGATCAAGGCCTACTCAAACTTTGCGCGAGTTTTTATTCACAGTATTCTCTTCCACCCGTTCGAAATTTGGTCTCGGGTTCGACAAGATTGTATTTTTCTGTTCATCCCGTCCAATTTTGTCATTGTTTGAATTCTCCGAAGACTCCTACATGATTTAGACAGTATCAAAACTGCATCCAGACTACGGATGACTGACCTCGACTATACTGACAACATTGTCCTGCTAGCATCAATTTTGATGACCTACAAAATTTGTTGTCGCGGATGAATGAAGCCGTTGACAGTCGGCTTAGCCCTAAGCGTTGGGAAGAACAAAGTGTTTTTGAGGTGCATTCCTGGACAGAAGAAGACACCTCTCGCGATTACCGGCCATTAGCTTGATGAAGTGGACAATCTTACATACCTTGGACAGAGTTAGGACGACATTGCCTCCAAAATCGATGCTAACCACAGAATATCCAGAGCCCCTAGAAAGTATCCATGGGCCCGATGCGATATCTCCTTCACCACAAAGAACCGCGTGTATCGGGCACCCGTGCGGCTAGCCCTCTTATGGGGTTGGAAATGCTAGGCTGTGCGCACGGAAGATGAGCGAAAACTGGATGTATCTGACCGTCGTTACCTGAGAGCCATCCTCTGATTGAAGTACGCTGAGTTTGTCTCGAAGTAGACAGTGCGCCCTCGTGGTGTAAAATCGTGGGTATATCGCAGACCGTCCAAGGAAGACTACTGAGATTATTTGGGCGCGTTTTACGTCGTTTGTCTCATGTGTTCAGTGCTGTTGCCCTTGATTCAAATCCTCTGTCTACCTAGAAGTGTCCACGAGTGCAGTCGTAGTAATTAATATCTCGTTTTGCACTGTTTTTGCGGGTTTGCCCAGGTATCGCAGTACGTTCGCTCTGGTAGGTCAAACAGAGCTACGTGCCCCTATTCCTCCGTTGCTAAATATCAACGTCTGCAAATGTTTAAAATATTTAAAAGCAGCCTTATTGTTACACAATGGCTCTGGTGTTTGTACTGCACAAATATCGGTAGACTTAAGGTTTTTTGCATCTAGGCGTAGAACTAAAACCCCATTCGATCGCTCTCATTATGTAAGGTACAAATTCTTTAGTGTTGGCCAACAAATTGGCGCTGATAATTAGCGCTCAAGGTGTTTTTTGAATGACGCTATTTCCTGAACGGCTGCCCGAGCGAGAGGCATTGGCACAAGTACTTGCGCCCTAACCAGACGAGCTCATCTTTAAAAAGAAAACACCTCTGACTGAATCTGTTTTACTGGGCTTTGTAAAATCTCTTACAGTCATGCTTCGCGTAGGCCGCTTTGTCTTTTACTCGCGCGCATTTTACCTTTTATTTTTTTAGCGAATATGCGCTGAAACTCAGGAAACCGTTTCAAGTAGAGTACGATACGGCCACGGAATCCGTGAAGATTATTGACCCAGTTAACCATGTTTCGGGGCTTCTAGAGCAACTAAGAGGGAACATTCAAAAGGTGCAGGACTACGTCAGACATCATATGGTGAAGAGCTAACTTCACCAATACATTTGTTGCGGAGAAAGATACCAAGTTTATTTTCGTCCGTTCGAAATTTGTGACTTCTTTTGCTACTCGAAAAACTACTTGCAGCGTACTCCGGTGTTCTGCAGGCGATTGTCCTACAAGAACTCATTTCATTTTTGTTGCTAAAGTCTGGCAAAAATGTGCTTCTCCACCGAGTTTTCCGAAATACACGTACCTACCTCCCTGGAGCATCGAGTTATACACTGATCTATCTCCGATAATGGCGAGGTGTAGGTATTTTTGTGTGAATTTTAGTAGAGCGACACAACATATCGAAAAGCGAAGATGAAGCCGAACACGTTTCCTGGGCAGAATGAATAAAACTTAAAACAGTCGAGCGCATACACAGCGAATCAGGCAGTTTTCTGCTTGGTGCCACTGCGGTCATGACTGATTGATCCGACCTCGCTACTCTCGCAAAGTGTCCTTCTGTCCGTGGGGACTGACAATTACAGCCCTGATAGATTCAATCCACCTCTCCATCCACCGACAAAGACAGAATGTCTGAAAACTGCTCCGAGGTCTCGATTATTTGCATCGAATGGCGTCTTTATTTGACCGACTGTGTATTGCCTTTGGTGATTGGGTGGCCTTGGGTTTAGGTCAGCAGCCCTGAGCTCATGGGGTGTGTGATGGAAAACGTGCTCGAAATCGTTCAAGAAGTGCTCTCGGATGGTCTGAAATGTGCTTGCAATGTAACAACATGAGACTACGGACGCATGCGGGACTACGTCAGTGTACTTCAAAAGAAATGATTAGTATGAGGCAGTGGCCTAATTTTCGATCGTCTTGCATGCATGAGAACTCAAATGTACAGAGGGATAATCCAAAGATTTTCTGGGGCATACGTACCTTCGTACTAATAGAGATATCATGAGGGGCCTAATGGCAGAATCGAATGCTACACACCTGTATGACCGACATCGAGTCGGGTTACGCAGAACAATTTGGCTTTTTTCTGCTTTTAAGCTATAAACGATGATCACGGGGAGTAAACTTCCTCAACGAGGGATGAAACACGATAGCACTTTGTCCTTCGTGGCCTTGATGGACTTGGAAACTCCGCTCATAATGGACCAAACAGTACTTACCTTGCGACCTGAGGCTGGCGGAACGGTTTCGTTGGCGTAGTCGAGATTCCTCAGTAAGTTTGCCTGCAGGTAACATGTCACTGTCTTTGCAACCGGGCAAGTTCTCATCTGAAATCCGCCCATCTTAATTAACCGTTACGTGCATTCGAGACTGACGCAATCGTAGTACATCTGTGAAAGACCGCTAACCATGGGAGAATTTGAAGACAGCCCGGTGCATCTAGTTGGCAGACTTTTCCACTGGTATGTCTAAGCTGATTCCCTTCGATTCGGTTCTCACATAGGGGACAAAAGTTACTGAAACAGCTGCGGTCGCACTGATGGAGCTTAGGGCGCGGTATTTCTCAAGTACTCAAGTTATAGTAGCTTCTAAAGCAATTGAATACCCGAAGAATGCTACCACCAAGGCAAGAATCCAAATGGCCTATTCACTCATCTGTTCTGCAATTAATGAAGATCGGTGAATGTAGTTTCCATACCAATAAGTGCTTTCGTAGGATAAGGACGAGACGTCCCCCAACGCCATAAGGCCAGCTTGATAGTATATATCTCCCTAGCCGTCACCTAGGGATTTCGTTAAACGCCTCCGCAGATTGATTGCATCACTAAATTGGATCATTCCCATCAACCGACAGCATGGACACTCCCACTAGACCTGCAGTCAGAGAAGCTTAAGAAATGGTGGATAGTGTACTCAAAGTGTTTTGGACTGGGCAAGCTATATTCGGAGGGAGATTCATATCCGATTACCAGCTATAAGTAAGCTTTCAGAAGGAGAAATCGAAGAGTATGCTTAAATCTGTGAAGTTCTAGCTTGGTCAGTCACGAAGAACCCAATGCAAAGAGACCAAAGATACAAGATCTTGCGGCAAATGTTGCGAGTTAGTTGAAGCCATATACTGGACCGTGCTTGTCTGTTCATTACCATTCTTCGTCGTTGGCGAGATAAAGACTCATCTCGAACAGCTTTTTACCATTCAAATTACTGGATAAAACCGATATAAAACAGTCTTGACACCAGTGCGTTATGAATGTAAAGCGCGTTGGTCTTCATCGCGTAATACAGGTGATCCCAAGCGACAACCTGCGGAAGACTCTAGAAAATACAAACGGTCCGACCCGATAGAACACTCGGACCAATTATCATCGAGTTACCCACGGAAAAGCGTCAACGCGAGAATAAACTTACGTCGGCCTCCGTGCTTGTCCCAAACACGCCGCCCCTGGACGTAAGACGGAATCTGCGACAACTTAGCTCAGTTGGTAGGCTGCCTCTCGAGCCGAAAATGCCTTGAAACTACTTGCATGTTCTTTCTTCGGAATTAGTTACACTACCTTCCCCAATTTCGCTAACTTCGATGAACTACCTTCGGCCCGAAGATGAGAGAATGAGATACAAATATACTGCGCAAATTAATGGGACAAAATAAACATCAGAACGGAAGCAATAGGCACCCAATCAACAAGTGAGACTCCGTACTCTGCCCAGAAGGCCTGTTACAAGTCGGACTGCGTGAAACGTTCAGGGTAAAAGGGCCTCAGTCACAATAAGATAATTGTGAGCGATTTGTGAAAACTTAACAATCGAATTTAGCTTTCCTTGCAGGGAAAGGTTTTTGGGCATTGAAACGAGAAATTCCAGTCTGGTTGCCGACATCCGCCGGCGGCCTAGGGAAAGAGCGCGACCGGACCATGCTCTTAAACAGCCGTGCGCATGTCCCACAGAGGACTTTGTCAGTAATAAATATACTCTAACAAGACCCGTCTTGATAGCAGACGATCTCATTTTTGAATATCTAGATATGTTGCACAAGTTGGACGAGATTCCGACGCTCCAGATCCGTTGTAGTAGATCGTAAAGCATGAACGTACAATCCATGACACGAAGGTCGCCTAAATCAGGAACGATAACAACCGTGTCAAGTAAATACAAATACTTAAAAACACCGCAATCGAAGGCGGGATAGTAGTAATAAGGGTTCCAGCTCAGAGTGATAGGCATTCGAGTGTGGCGCCGACTAGAGATCAGAATGCTACTGTGAGACGCCTCCCAAGAGTGAAGAAAAACTGACTACCTGTTTATTTAAGCAGGCAACAACGGAGACGATGGGGTACATGGATTGGAAAGCGAAACTAAAAATAATAAGAGGTAGCCCCTAGCGCATTGCTTATTTCAAAGCTGCCTGCAACTTGAAGCCGAGTGGAGGCGATGGAGAAGTGAGGCTAGTTAGTCCACCCTTTGGTTCGCAGGAACATCGGTGATTTTGTCCACTCCTAAAAAGATAACCAAGATTTATACACAGTGAAGACACTTAGTCACGTTAGTGTAGACGGGGAGAGAGAATGCATACAGTACTTGAAACAAGCCCCGTGAAGAGGGCACTAGTGTCTATAAGCCAATTAGTGCTGGGGACTGCTATCGAAAGCTTGTTCAGCCAAGTACAAGCGACTTCCCATAGTTTCCTTTGTCACGACAAACGATGTTAGGGTATGGGGGCACGTCTCCGTAGGACAAATGCTAGTAGGCCTTCAGTAACGGATTCATCTCTGCCAATGACTAAACTTTGCGCATTTAGTTCTTTAGCACATTGCGTCGCGAAGCGTTTATCATCCGATCGCAGTAGAAACAACCCATGGTTTTTACTTGAAAGGTTCAAGTAGAAAAGGCAGTTAACCATTAATCGCTTGAAATTTCGAAACTGGCGCATTATACATGCAGGACTAGCTAATAAAGAGTAGCTTCTTGTACTTACGTGTTTAACGAAAAGGATGTAGTGATGCACGACAGGTCGCCCAAACGTCACGTACCAATTCCTCCACTTGGCTTAGATCGGTGTACACTCTTACCAAAGTTTGCGGAACTGTAAAAGCTGGTAGCAGAAACGACAAATGAACCCCAAAGTTTTTGTCGAATGAGACAGTCAACACACGATGCGACAACGTCACAAGGATATACGACTGTCGAAAAAATATAGTTGCCGTCAGTTTTGTACGTTTTCTGTCGATGGTCCATTGATATCAGTGTTCAATGGTAGAGGAGCGCCCGCCGATCGTGTTACGGAACTCACTCGTCCTGTTGTGCCTTAGGGCTCACTTTTGAGCCCAACCAGCAGCCACACATCGGCGCATGATATAGGCAGAATAGCATTACCGACAAAGACAAGGGAGAGTGGAATGGTCATTTCTGGTTTGTTAACCGTCGCCAGCCAGTCATACCCAACACCGAAGTGTGGAACACCTGGGGCTCCATCCCGCGACCTGCTTGTTAGAAGTCCAAAGCCTCTAACCACTGAGCCACGGGCTCGTTGTCCTGTCGGTTGCAATCGGAAATATACAATGGTAGAGGGACGCTCGCCAATCGTGTTAAGGGACTTACTCGTCCCGTTTAGCTGGGTATGACTGGCTGACGACGGCTAATAAGCCAGAAATAGCCATGCCAGTCTACATTGTTTTTGTCGGTAATGTTATTCTGCCGATATGAGTGTTGTTGGTCTAAACTCAACGCCGTTAAATCAGTGAAGGTAACTAGGAGACAAGCGAAAAACTTGGCTCGATCAGGTCCCTCGAGTTATTGACGTTGCTTTTTGGCCTCCGGCATTCGGCCTAGTAAAGTTCTCTGATCCGCTGTTGCAGGCTGCCGTCTTTGGAGGCAATATACACGAAACCGTGAAAACAGGCTAGACCAGACATGCACAGAGCTGTGTCAAGAAACATAAGTAACAACTGCGTATGACGTTAAAATGAGCAAAAATAATCACACTGCAATGTCTGATAATATGGAGACGTGATTGCTGAGATAATAGTTTTATTCGCCTAACGTTTCAAACTAACACATGAAGCCATTACGAGACGTAACTGTCTCTGTTAATGGGCTCAAGTGAAGTATGAAAAGTCGAGTGAATAAGCTATTCCAGCGACCGCGTCTCCATATTCTCAACCGTCTTCCCAATTCTTAATTTCGACAGTGCTTCAAGATAATTAGTACATGGTTGTAAAATGTGTACAGAATAGGGTAGGCACTCACTGTGGACCAGGCTTTGGCGATCGACCCTGCCTTAGATCATCCAGGATTTTGTCAACATCCTCTGGGGTTAAATCCTCCTAAGCATGGCGGAAAGTACATATGGAAGCTTATTGCAGGGAACATATGAAGAAATCAAGAAGAGATTTACAAACTTGTTTCCGGTTTCGTTCGTCAGGTAAAGCAGTTGGTTCAGTCGAGAAGAGGTAGGAATGATGTGTAACGAGAAGGCAAACTTTCTACGAACCATTTACAAAAAGACAAAAGTCACCTTTTTTGGAGGGCGCATGTTTTAGGTTTACATAAAAAAGCTTGACGAAATCGAAACCCCCTTGGAAGTTGTCCTACACGCCAAACGTTGGAGGGGATGCATAGGACTGTAAACGTAAATAAGTCTGGCATTTACAGCTTAACTACGAACCAGGAAGTCCCTGTGCAGGTTCAAGTACCCGAACATGCCTAACGATAACGAATTTCGGAAATTTCGCCCCCGCCACATAAATATAATGGTGTAAAGACAAAGCTACCGGTTAAATCAAATGACACAGGCTCTATATTATCGCGCAACTCAGAATGTGACATACTTGCAAATGGTTGCCCGACGTCTACCGAGTGCACCACAAAGTGTGTGTGGCACCAGTGACTTGCGCGCATATTAGTTTATGAGGCAGGCTCGCGCAGCAGCCACCACACTCCCTCTCCACGAACTAACTTCGATCCGATGGCAAGGCAATGCATCAAAACGGCCGGATGTGGATGTGGACGCTGTAGCTGACTAGACCAAATAGCTCGTCTACGCGTGCCGCACACGATCTGGTCCCCATTACGTGTACTAGACCTCTATAAGGACGTCCCAGACTTCGTATCCCCGAGTGTTATAAAGCTCCCACTGAGGAGCAACCACTGAAGCCGGACTCTCACCCCTCCAATCACTACAAAATACTCCCACGGGGACTTTGTTATCCGGTTACTCGGCAGCGTTCCAAGCCACGACCCTTAGAGCGTCATGACATATTTAACCACGTCACATTTATTGCGGTAAGTAACGCGCAAATATTCCGTGAGGACGGATTCCGTAGTGTAGCATTCACTTTCTCTTTTCCCTCTCCCATGCTTCAGTCGACTGTTCGGGCCTGTCAAACAACTGTTTATGATTAGAAGCGGTCGCTCACAAAGCTAAGCAGGCTACCTGCTCGTGCTACACGCAACCTAGTCTCCACTACTCCACTACGTAAGATGTATATGCACTAACGCGCAATATTTCCACCGAAATAAAGGCGATAGCAAGGCGGACCGGATACCTGTTGGAGAGAGGCATGGTGTGACGTTGCTGGCGTGTATGCGCGTTTTGTGGACTAGACCAATAGGTAGCCTAAGGGGGGAGGTGCGGGCAGGTAAGGCGAGGTGCTTTGATCTAGTCTGGAGTGCGGTTTTTCACCTAAGACTTTCATGACCGGCCAACTGGCGAGGTTTCGTCCACAGGGATACGCAGAGAGCGTAAGGAAGGTATTTGAGGAAGGAGTGAAATTTTACCTGTGGACGCGGCAGGGGCTTCAACGAAAAACCAAGTCATTTTCGCTTAAACTATCTTAAGAGTGAGGCTCAGTCTCTAAAGGAAAATGAAAACAGGCATTATAAGCCGATCATAATCAAGATCTGCGAAAGTTATCAGACGGGATGATAGCTATTGTAAACAATCTGCGGAAAAAGCCTACATAATAATCATCATTGATTTGCATCATCGGTGCATTCGCACAGGCGCCAAGACACTCGACCTCCGAAAGAGTAAAAAACTTGTCTTCAGTTGTCTGGCCGGGTTGGATACCTAAGAATAAAATTACAATACGGTCACATCATTAAAAAAGTACCATCCTTTCACCACCCCAAGATGTTTACTGCTGGTAATAATGCACAAAGGCGTCGGTCGGATTCTGTATTATGCTAAGCATTGTCTTGACATATGACATCGTAATGTTTAAGTTATAATTAAATAGCTAAATCAAACAACACTTTAAGCCAAACCGCACTAAATAACAGCATTGAACCCGTTAAAGCATCTATGGTAACAAATGATGCTTATATGTAGTAGAATACCAATTATGACAGATGGGCGCTCACCGATTAGGTTACGGAACATGCTCGTTCCGTTGTGCCTTTGGACTCATATTAGAACTCGTGCAGGCAGTCGCATAGCGACTGACAGTAGAAATAGATGAGATGATACAGACAAAGGCAATTAAGACCGGAATGGCCATTTCTGGCCTACTAGCCGTCATCAGCCAGTCATACCCAATCACAAGTTTGGATCACTTGAGATTCGAACCCGGGATCTTTGGTCATGGAGTTGGACACTGTACCATAATTGAGCAACGGGCCTGTTTTCCTGTCGGTTGTGATCGGCATCATCTCATGTACTCCTATTACCAGTCGCTGTGCGACTGCCTGAGAGGGTTTTAGTGTGAGTCCAAAGCACAACGGAACGAGCATGTTCCGTAACCTGATCGGTGAGCGCCCATCTGTCATAATTTATATTAACGATCGCAATCGACAAGACAACGGGCCCGTGGCTGAATGGTAGAATGTCAAACTCCATGATCAAAGATCCCGGATTCGAATCTCAAGTGATCCACACTCGGGGTTGGGTATGGCTGGCTGATGACGGCTAATAAGCCAGAAATGGCCATTCCAGGTCTCCCTTGTCTTTGTTGGTATCATCTGATCTAGTGGAATACCTGCTTGAACTTTTATATTTTCCCGTAACAACAATTGGATGGCTTCCCAAAATGCAACAACACAAAAGCGACAGAGCTACGTGGCCTATCGGTGATGAAGAGAAACTGCTAGAAGGCGAGTTGTGGGCCAATGGGACCAGATACCAAAGGGTATGCACCCACGGCCATCGGTCCGCATTGTGGAATATAATCGCCATTTCAAGCTAATAAGGCAAAAAAAAGCTTGATAGGTTGATCCGCCATTGGTAATGTCACGTGCACTACGATGAAACGGCTGGTTCACCAATTATTTGAAATCATAATGAACAGAAAAAGGGTGTAGGATGCAGGACTAACAGTGTCCCATTATTGTCGATGAAGAGAAGACGAAGTAAGTCAAGACAAGTCGAATGTAGACGGCACTGGGAATAATGTTGGGATGAGAACCTTTCAGTTATATGACCGAAACAAAGACACGAAGGTGCAAGCAGAACACACAAGGGCTAATTCTGAGTCCCCTACGTGGTGAACCAACCGTTTATTACAGAAACTTTAAGTTGCTCCTCATGGACAGCATGGGCGCTGCATTCTAAAATACTAACGGCAGCACTTGCAGAAGCGGCCGCTCGTATTCGAAAATATGTCCACAGGCAGGTTAGAAAACGCAAAGACGTTTAGTAACTTATAAGCAGAAGTGCGTCGTAATTCTAAAAAATGAAATTTTTAGAGATATCTTAGTTCAGTTGGCTACAGGACCTGATCTTCACTTGGGAGACTGGAAATGACTGAGATCTAGGAAAACGAACCAAGTTTTTTTGTCACTGCTTCCATGATAACGTCCGACCCGACACCACCAAGCATGCAGGGGGTGGTTGTGCAAACTTGTACGTGGTATTTGCCCATAGGTTTTCTGAAAAAAAAACAATTCAGAGAATGAAAAACACATTGGTCTCTTCGAGCATGAAATAGAAAAGAAACACGTGAATTAACCGCGACAACCGGATCCGTAATTAAGAAAGACGATGGTTCTGGGTCTAATCTGACATCGCTCACTTAGCGGCAACGAAACATGACTGCGACCGCTTAAGTCAATACACAAATGTAATATTTTCAACACGACTTAATTCGACAATACATCCTAGGTAACCAACCTGAACAGGTTGCAAATAAAGAGGAAGTGACGCACAGGTGAGAAAGTAATGGTAACGCCACGATTACAGATGGCCTTAAGAATTCTGACGATGTAAGTAGAAATCGATTAACACTAGTATTTCATGACAGTTACCACTCTCAGCGGTCATGCCACAAGTATGTAAAGGAAAAAGTGCACCAGGTGGCGCGGTGTGCACGTTGAGTGTGACACGAGACCAGGGCGATGGCGAAAGAGTTCGGCGTTCAAGACATACTTGTGTTAATAGTACCATTAACCATATGGCGGAATGGTAATCACAGAATTGGAGGGAGAATAATAAAAAAACGCATGTTGGAAGAGTGTGTAATTAGTTAAACAGAACATATTCAAAACGGCGTGAAAACAATTATATACTCTAGTCTGTAAACTTTGAAGATGCAAACTAAAATGTCTGGATGGAAACCGTCAGAGAGAGACAAAAAAGGCATCAAGAATAAAGCTATGGTGCGGAACGCTGAACTCTAAGCAACTTAGTTGAGTGACTATTTACGTGTCCAATACGACTTTGATCATGCCTGGCCTAGCAGGTCTAAATAGTCAGTACTGTCAATTTCCTGCACAAGTGTCCTCGACAGCCACCGGAATTGTTGGCTCGAGGTTATCCCACCTAACTTTGAGCACGTTGGAAATAAAACGCTGTGAGGCACTGACACGAGAGCCTACTTAATGGCGGTTTACGGTCACCAGGTTACAGAACCATCATTGAGACTTTTCGGTGCCAGACCCGTCTTCAATATTCTGGTAGTACTAGTGACACCGGTCCGTGAAAACTTATTTACTAAGCGCAAGAGTCCGTTTACTTGACGATTAGATTCTGGTAGTGGATGTTCCACTAATAGCTAAACGGTGACGTGGAGGGGAATTCGATGTCTATGCCAACGGTCAAACTCGTCATCCAGGGGGCCAGGATGATTCCAATGGCCACTTAGGCCCATCTAGCGTCCTTGATCAGTAGTATTCCAACTAAATGGCCGGACGACCTACAGATCGAACCAAAGCTACCACACTGAATAGTAATTGAGCACCTATTTACTTTGTAAATGTCCATTTACTTGTCAAAAGGGAACCAAAAGTGCGCTCCCAAAACTTTAGAGATATTGCGGCGAAAAAAACCCAAACTAACGAGCAACAGGTAAGGGTGGAGTAACTCAACGCATCGAGGATCGAATATGAGAATGCGTGGGCATGTGAGGACCAACGAGTGCGGGGTGATTCGAATGGCACATGAGTTAACACCAGACCACATGTTTGGTGGGAAAACATGCCAGGAAACTGGAAAGGAAAACGAATTCTTACCTGTTAAACATTGTGTAAAATGTTGCGACTTCAAAAACGCGAATCTCGGGGACGCCTATATACTCCGCAACTTTGGCCATGGCACTCAGAGGCAGCCAGCCTACAAATGACTCTCATTTTGGGTTTTCCAACTAACCGTGTTGCCTTTGTGCTATATCTAGGGCTGGCATTATTGCAGCCGACCTGTGAGCAGGTGGATACTGCGCCAGTACGCTTTCCAGCCGTTTCCGATTTTCAGGAGTAAACTCAAACTTGACAGTTCGATTATTATTACTGCTATCACGGTGCTGAAAATGAATACTTAACAAGGTAAATGACTTACAACAAACTGCGAAGAGGCACAACGTTTGACTAACTTGAAAGGACAGCCACAAAGAACTCCTCTAAAAGTATGTGAAAGCATCTTGAGGGTGACAGTCACGATGGCCTGGACAGCCTACTGCCTATAGCGAAGAAAACCAAGGACAACAAGCATGCAACCACAACACCAACAGAAATTAGGGCTACATTGTAGAGAGAGGGCGTAGAAGACCATAACAATGTACAAGGGTAACCTGAACTTGTTTTTTAGACGTGAACTTACCATTCTTGTCCTTTTTTGACCTACCTGTTCTTCAAACGGAACTTTTTTAATGGCCACGTCGGAAGAGTGTGGAGGGGCCAGTGGAGAGACCGCACATTTCGCGCTAGCTTTAAGGATCCCAGCCAAGGAGAAACCCGACCTGCAGAAACACTAAGAAAGCATATATGGACTGCCGCGTAGAGGAAGAAGACAAAACCGTACCCTTGAGTGGTTCAAGTACTACAATAGAATGCTTGCCGAAAGACGGTCATTTTATTGAACGTCCTAGAGGGCGTGCCTCTAGCCGCTATAGGGTTGTGCGCGCCAGTTTTCTCGTTTTGTGCGTCAGGTACGTAGACGTATGTTATACACGTAATAGAGCAATGCAACCACAAATAAATGGGAATATTCCCAGCCAAAGTTCGTCTAACTTTCTCGCCAAAACACACTCCCAACCACTCCTAATGGGGGATTTAAAAATGTGCCCGAGTCGATGCTTGGAGGTGCTATAAATATGGGCTTGGATTGACCTCTGAGATACCTGTGGCAAGGCTGAGATTTCCGGACCATGAATCTCCCCCGTTGTCGCCGGACCTCTGTGCCTTCCTCGTCTCCGTGGAAAATAATCGCATATTCAGTTTATTTTTGTAACTAGGACCATTTCTTTGGTTTCCTTTTGTACATCGGTCGCGTAGTACTCAAGCAGTTACTATTCGTTCCTTTTTCTTGGGCCGTCTGTGTACTCTCATTCGGGAAAGCTACAAATTAGTAGCAGCGGCGGCCGGCAGGGTCGACAACCTTGTGGGGCAACTTTTGAATGATCCTTAAAAGCTTGGGTTGCCACAAATGTACCCACACATTCCGGAAAAACACTCCAGACATGATGACTTCGGGCGGTAGGAGATTCAAACTAAGAACAACGTCCGCGGACTTGAGGCTCAGTCGCAGAGCCCGACCAACCTGGTCTTTCTGGATGACGAAGTTTACGACCTCGCCCGATCTGTTGATATTACTTTTGGCGTGAATGCAGTGTCGAAACACTTAAGAAAACTTTGCTATAATACCTGTGTCGCAACATTGCCGTCCAATCCCTTCACAGTGCGGAATGTTTGTAAACGGTCCCAGCACAGTTGTCTTTAACTGAAGAGCAAGAAGTTCAGACATCGTGCCGGCAAAGTCAAGGAAGACCGGAATGGCCATTTCCAGCTTATTAGCCGCCACCAGCCAGTCATACCAAGCCCAGGTGTGGATGATTTAAAATCCGAACTCCGGATCGTTGGTCATGGAGTTTGACGCTCTACCATTGAGCTACGGGCACCACAAGCTTTACAGGTTTTTTGAAAGAAGTGAAGTCACTTTTGGCGTGGATCCCGGAAGGGTTCGGTGTGATCGTCTGCCAACGAAGATAGCCTTCCTTCCCTTCCCTAACACTGACTTCGCCCCTTCGCTTTCGCAGTCCGATCGTATCGCGTTTCCCTAACCGTCAGCCCACTCCCGGGCCTTACCCGCAGTTGCCGGCGGCGCTGCATTCCTTACTGCCGTCTAACTGATATTCAGTGACCATCTCCCTCTCGAAGTGGATCAACTTTGCAGTGCCCCATCATTTTCTTGTATTAATGATCTTCCACCATTTTCGACTCGAAAGTTTATTATCGTAACATGAGTTCCATATATTGATGATCCCTTTCTTGTTCATCCCTACACGCATGTATGGTGTGGTGTTTAACGACCCTGCAAAATGTTACATAATTGCGAAGGTATGTACTAATCTCAAGGCAATCGGCCGCTACACCTCGTCTGCTCCTGGAGAATTCGATTCGTCCAATCCCTTTGATTATCTTCGAATACGATATTCTGAAAAGAGTTTATTATTTATGCTTGCAGTTGGCAGTTCTTCCGTGGAGGGAGGACTGAACCTTAAATCGTTTGTGTAGACAAAATGGCGAAGCTGTGGAAAATAAGCAGATTTGTCCCTCTTATCAGCAATATCAACGCCATACGTTGTCCTTATTAAGGAGCTTTGGTGTCTGTGCCTAGTACCTCCTCGACGGTAGCTGTTGCCTCATGTTAGACTCTGCATTGCTTTTATGACAAATTCTTCTCAAATGCCCGACGCGTTCCTATAATCATGCCTTTCAGTTTGTGTCTCTGTGTCTTGTAATTGTTGAAATATTCGACCCGCCCAGCGACCCGGTATTTTCTTAGCACATTTGCCTCCCATTAATTTCTTTCTCTAAGTTGTTATTTAGCAACCCAGGTCGCCTGTGCTGTCTTACAGTCGTCAGTAGACAGCGGCTATTAATTAGCTGCAGAACATCTCCCAGACTTCGTTGGCATTTCCCGGAAACGATGACCTAAAATAAAGACCGGATAAATGTGTCCCCATCTGATTGAGGTGAGCCCGCAAAATGCTACATCTTTTTTGCTCAAGAGTATGTAAAACGTAGAATAACAAATAATTTCACATAAGCGGTATGTAGTCACATTGGCCGAGGGGCAGCATGAAGGTAACCTCATCTATGCTGTCTGATGTTTACATAAAAACCAGATCCAGGCAGTATGCCCTTTGTCCTTCTTGTGTTCTCGGTGGAAATATTACATGTTGTGTGAGGGGCACCTTTAATGTTTTATGCAGCAAAAGGTAGTCGAATGCCGATTTTGGACCTGACGATTGAACGGTGTTCTAGTTAATTCCCGGCGCGTTGAATTCGCCCATGATTATAATATTAGGTGGACTGGATAATTTCTCCAACTGCTCCAGTAGATGAGTGTCGGAGGTTTGGTTTGTCCTAGGTGGTCGGTAGATACTGAGGGCATCGACATACGGGGAGCCAATGGTCTTGACGGCCATTCAAATAGCTCCCGTTTTGCACGCAAACTTGGTGATCTTTTCCGACACCACCAGGTCGTCTGTCACATACACAATTATACTATCAAGCTGACGGTGTTCCCTGTCATTCTGATATATTTAGTATCCAGTTAAGGGTATTTCGCTATCACTTATATTCCCGGACAGTGAGGTTTCACTTACTGCTATAACATCCGGGAAGATTTCCGCAAAGAAATGTTTTAGCATCTGCATATAAGCACCTCAGTTTTGCAACAGCCGAATTGCGGCCTGGGTTTTTAACTGTTGTGGACATTGTTGCGTTGCCGCGGACGTCATTTTCACTGGCCTATTACTTTGCGTGATGGGTCTCATTGACGTCCGTTTCTTCGGTTAGTACATTGGGCATCAAGGGATTACTTATGCTGCCGGCTCAAGCGGCTGATTACAAGATGGCGTCTGCGTTAGCTAAGTAACTGCTATCGTTCTTCGTATTACTGGGTGGTTCACCTGAGACGGCATATTTTTCTGAATTATTTCTCTTATAAGACAGCCGTGATGTTTTCGCCACCCTCCAGCCGCGATTTTAAATCCGAGACAAGTTCATGATGTTTCATCCGTACCGCTGAAGAGTTGTTCGATTGCGAAGAGGGAGACAGGATCACTGGAACGAGAGCTAATAAAATTATTGTTCGAGCGATCGTGTTGCCTTCATCACGACTTCTTCCTGTTTGAATAATTTCCTGAGGTTGGTTTTTTGGAGGATCAGCATGATTTGCTTTTTGTTCTCCAGCATAATTTTGAGAGGACGAGAATGCTTTAAGGACTTTTATTTCTACGTCTGCCTGGAGTAAGTGATCTAGCAGCTCATGAAAAGAAGTAAAATATTCAGAGACACGGTCTTCGGGTCTGACTGCATTCGATGGAGGGAAGCACGTAACAACCAGATATTGTTGGGCGGTCCCGTCACAGTTTACTTTGCCTTTCCGGGAAATCGTCTGTTTAAGGACGAGAATGATTTACGGACTCCTCGCTTATATTCAATTTTTTTTCGTCGACTAACAATCCCGATTGACTTACGAAGGATGACTGGGATTACAGAGTCTGTTATGACGTTTCTTCATCTCCCCTAGCCATGAGTTCCCATCTTGGCTTTGAAACTTTATTTAGAACCCCTAAGCGTACTGTCATATAATGTGCTCTATAAAGCACTCACGATGGTTGAACGAACATGAGGTGAACGGCAGATTAGGCGATCTAACTATGTCATCCCTTGACACAAGGGGACTCCTATCATTTCCGTTGAGAGGAGCAGTCGAGCTAGCTCCCGCGACAGATAATAGTTTTGCGTCGTCGCTTAGGACGTCTTGTGTGGAAATAAAGTCTGCCTTTACTGGCAGCTTCATTACATTTGTCTTGTTGATAGCGATTCTCACGTCTGCATTTACCTAGTCACTGAGCGTTTTTTGAAATTATCCTGGGACGATATTTTCTCGCACTTTTTGCGTTTTGTGTTGCGTTCTACTGCACTGGCGTATTTCATTCAGCAAGCTGCTTTACTCTGACCGAGATATATGGCCATTCACCACAACGTTTATCCCATACCCCACATTCTTCACAGTAGCTGCGTCCCTGGCATGATTTGCTGGTCCTTGACTGGAAGCGTAAACAGAGCGGGCGCAGATCCTGGATGGCCATCACACCACACTTATCTTCTATCGAGGTGTCGCTGTTGGTGTAGATAACACCGATCCAAACAGACGACCTATACCTAAATTCAACCATATGAACATGAATGGGAATCTACTTAAATGGCTAACCGACATTCTCATAGGCGGGTTTCAGAATGTTTGCATTGGTAGGCCTGAATCGGAGTAAGCAATCATTCACACTGGCGCTCCGCAGGTGAACGCTCTGCATCCCATTCTGTTCCCAATATATGTGAACGACTTCCTAAACTACTTGAACTGCGAGGGTGTAGTGTTTGATGATGATCTTAGGGATTTGCGCCCCTCTTCCCTCAATAACCTAAACTGAATTCCTTTTGCACATTTAGTTTTGCCGTCATGTTTTCGGATTTCTTGAATCCAAGTTGTTATGTGACAGAATAGTCCTGACTAATTCACTTCAGGTTGCAAATTTCAGCAAGCTACTTCCGCTGCAATCCAGATTCCGCCGAGACGCTCTTGCGTGCCAGTTTCTGCTACTCGATTAGCCATACGCAATATCCGGGAAGAAAAAACAAACGAAATAAACACATTATGTACAGCCATTTATTTCAAAAACCGAACCGCGAGCTAAAAATGCACATATTAGTACAGTTCCAATAAACAGGTCTCCACCTTGCAATCTGACTAATCACGTTAGAAATGTCAGTTTCAGTCTGAGAGGAATGGCAAATAAGATAATCAATGCTGTGCTCCGATTCAGTCCAGTGAATGCATTAAAACATTATGTATGGTGAACCGGCTGACCCAGTGTTTCTTTTATAGTGCTACTTTGTATATCGGAGTCCGACCTTTAAATCACCCCGACACTGTTTTTTTGGGATTTGCTATCTAACGCACTTGCGGATGAAATCTAGTAGATCGTACAACCCAAAAAACCAAAATGTAAATAGGAAATAAAACGTTGATCAGTTAAAACAAACAAACGGTAAAGTCTATCATGCTAGAGAAGCGTAGGAATATGGAACTGAGAGTGATAATGCGACAGCATATTGCCTTTAAATAATAGAATTTTCAACAGACTATCGTGAATATCGACCGTTTGCCGTACATTTAACCAGTTATGTAGGTTAAGTAATCGCCACATATTCATTGTAATATCTAACCGGATTGTGTTTTTGGACGGACCACTGGAAGCCAAAAGTCGTCAAAAATCTAAAGTTTATGCAAACTCCGTAAAACTGTCGAAACTGTCGACTATATATTAACTGTACTAACAATACAAAGTAACTGTGTTAACCAACAGAATTCCTTATTAACCAGCTAAATATCTACCTAACTAAATAACAAACAAACTAAGTAACTAATGAACGAACTAGCTTACATACCGACCAAGTACTTATACTAACGAACTACTTGGCTAACTAAGTAACAATCTCACTAACTATGCTAAATCACCAACTAAAATTTGTAACTGACTAACTATGCGAACGGCCAAATAACTACGCTATCCCACTAACTAATTTTACTAACTAGCCAACTAACTAACTATACTAACTAACTAACTAACTAACTAACTAACTAACTAACTAACTTACTAACTAACTAACTAACTAGCTAACTAACCAACTAACTGCCTAACCTAACTATTTGAAGAAGAAGAAGAAGAAGAGTCGAGCACCGGAACAATTCGTTTATTATCCTGAGCTTTCAGACTCGTACAGGAGTCCATCGAGTCCTGTACGCGTCTGAAAGCTCAGGATAATAAACGAATTGTTCCGGTGTTCGACTCTTCTTCTTCTTCAAATATGTATACACCTGGAACTCGAAATTTCGCCTTCATTCGTGTAACCTAACTATGCTTACCCTCTAACTTGTTATACTAACTTACTAAATTAATAGCTAAGTATAGAATCAACTTTACTAACTTGCTGACTATGCTTACTAACTAGCCATTTGGCCATCTAACCATACTGGCTAACTAACTTTACTAACTAACCGACTAGCTAGCTACCTATACTCCGCAAATATTTAATAACTTCTTATTTAACCAACTTACTCCATTGACCGACTTTCTTAGTGACAGCTTCCGGGTCTCTCAGTACTTGGTAGTATCACTGCAACATACTTTTAAAAAACTTAAACCCTAGAATAAGCCAGGAAGCCGTCGCGGCCCGCATGAAAGTGTTCGACCAATCACAATTCAGCATTCTGAAACCCGTCCGCAGATAGCGGTTTTTTAAGCACGCGTTTTATTCGGACCTGTGCTGTCCTCTCAGACTAACGCGGGTGGGAATGCCGAGGGATCATTATGAACGCGACGCCTCTTTTTCGTAGACTGATATATTCTCATTTACTGATCCTTAAGGCTTCTTCCGAAGGTGATCAATGGAGGCATCGCGGGAATCGTTGGCGTTTCGTGCGTTTTTCCGATAGACCTTGTTAAAACCCGCTTACAGAATCAACAAGTGGGCTCAAGGATGTATGAAAACATGTGCGTATATCTTTCCATCCTGCAATTTTTTAAACAATCACAGAGCAGCTTGGCTTTATGCGCCCACGCGCGCGCCGAATTTTCCAACATACAAAAGTGGCTTTTCAGCATAGATGTTGACAATGCCTGTTTATCAGACTAATCAGGTTATTAATTATGTGGGGAATTCAAAATAAGTAAATAATACATTGATTCATATGACTGTGTTGTAGAAATTCTGACCAACGACCCTTCTCGGCTGACCCAAAAATCGATGTTTTGTTGTGCTCGGAATCGTGTATTACCTTATTTCAATATGCACATGTTATCTTGTCGTAATTTTGCGCAGTTAACGGGATTTTTTGCCCACTTTTGCAGATAATTTCTGCAAAATGGCAAATTTTGATGGGATTGCAGTAACCCAGGTTTAGTCCCTACTGATAGTCTGCGGCTAGTTTCGTGACTAGCTGACTCTTGTCGATAGTTTCCCGAGGCACAACCACTAGCAGTTGCCACTTGCGATTGGCGTTAAAGGTCAATCAGATCACCTGCCGCAAACATGCCCGCAAATCTGAGTTACTAGTGCCGGACGATGTTATCTGGGAATGAAACAATGTCACTAGTAGTTTGCTAGTTTCCTAGGGCGATTGGATTAGAGATTTTTAGTTTTACTTTCGTAACTAGAACTAACTCTAACTGTACCTTAATTCTGTCCGATATTCTAACACTGGGTATATGTTTACGACTCGGACCCGATCACACTGGGAGAAGGTAGCCTCTTTGAATTTTAGCATGTTTAGGCTATTGCCGAACTGTCCTAGTCTTTCGCTATGCAATTCGCCACGAGTAGCATTTTTTGGAATTACCTTTCAAGTTGAGTCAATGCTGGCAGACTTGTAAACTGAATCCATCCATTATTTTTCATTCCGTTGTTGTCATGGCTTACTGGGGCGCTTTCTTGTCCAAACAAATTTATTTTGAAATGTTCCTCCACTAAATCCTATGTAACTTTCATTATTTGATCTTGCACCTTTAAGCCTTGATTGCGCTCGCAAAACCTACCGTGCCGAGGGCTTCTTCGGGATGTACCGAGGTATGCGTTGATTTTGGTTCGTTTAGTTAAAAAAACTTGCTCCTGAGGTTAGGAATGTGATGGCATACACAAATACACTTACGGACGTTCACCAAAGTCATTGCGCATACTTTCAGTTAAATAATTGAAATGTGCCAAAACTTTTTTAGGAGTGAATTTTAATGTGGGTGGTGTTTTGATACAAATCGTGGCAGTTCGTTGCAGCTGACGATGTCCGACGTATGCTCCACAACAACGTGAATCAAACTAGGTGACTTACACGTGAATTAGTTTACAGTGAGAGTAGACTTGCACTGCACCTGCCGCACTCGCTACCTCTCTCAACCTGGGCCCTGTATAGAGACTCAGTCAGAAAGACCTGGAGAGGGCGCAGGTAGGTGGCACGGCCGGACCCACACCTAGACGTACCACCACATCCCCCCATCCACAACAAGCACTCGACCAGGATTCTAACAAGCAACACCACAGCGGTTCAGAAAGAGGATGAGTGGGCGGCCATGCTCACGACCTGTTTACGTGGCGGAAGCGCAAGCGCATCTCTCGGCAGGGAGCCAGGTGCCAAGTCTTCAGAATTAACGTGAAATTTAATCCTTGTTTTGTGGGTAGTCCAACATAAGTCTACTTGGAGTTAATAACAGAGGTCCTTATAAGCTCCATTTAAACGGCAGGCCTAAACCATGGAAAGCTATTTCGTTGGCATGCTATCATACAGCATGATCGGCCACAGGGGATCTTGACGAAAAGCATCAAACGCCGACTGACGAAACGGATGGAGATGGGCTACTGTTTTCAGTCGCAGTGTTCGGAGATTCGACTAAGAGATAAGTGCTTGCAAAACATTCCCACCGCGACTGAAAGCCGCACTAGAAGAAACATCACTTAGAAAGTCCAGGCGACATGACAATAATTTTATAAATGAAAATAGCCAATTATTTGGATAGAAGTCGTACCGGAGTTTGCATTGTGCTTTGCAAAGGTATTTAACTAGGTCCTGCCCTTGTGATACAAATGGAGCACTGGGTCGCTGTGTGTGTTTTCTATGTGATTTGTGGTTTCACCGGTTTTTGTACAGGTCAAACATCCTTATACAGACTTCACAACGTTCCCAAATCCTAATTGCTCGGCGACATCACGTGAACTGGCATTCCTCAGTTTTCCCGCATCGTGATCATAGACCAATTCCGTTTTGACATGAAACTCGTTCAAGGCCAGATAACTCTTGCTTGTCTACAGTCATTGTTCACTAAATTGCTATTACTCTCCTACCATAACTTCACACCACGCTTAAATTCATGGGCTAGTTCTTCCCAGCCAATAAAGCTTCCCTATTAAACCAATCCCACTGGGGAATTGTCACTTCTGTAGTACGTATATCTTGCACGCGTTGGCCGGCGTTTCTATAAGATGAACCGGACTTTCCAGAAAGCATTAGCAAGGAATGCACTTATTTCAGTCGTACATAAGAATACACCTTAGATTCTGCGTCTGAAGAGAACGAGGTATTTCGCCTCAGAAGGATTCATTTGAATATTTTGAAGCCTTCATTCTTACAGTAGGTGACGGGACTCGCGAAATATGCATAAATTTAAAAAATGTCTAATCACGCCATGACCGGCCCATTTGCATCAACGCTAACCCCCAATCAATTACGAAGGAAATTCAGTTAAGTGAGAGTACAAAAGAATTTTCGAAATTAGTGTTACATTGGTTAGGTACAATAGTCTTCTCAAGGTAAACGTACATTTCGATAGGTCACATATTCGTGTTAAATGCGTAAAGTTGGTTGTGGGCTTACACAGGGTCTCCATGCAGAAAAGACGACTAACTAAACGGGATAATTGTCAGGGTAAATATCCTTCAAGATTTAATGCAATACAAAGTATGGCAATTATTTACTTGCCCGATTTTTGATTGTGTTTCAAAGTGCTGTCACGAGAATTCTGTTTTATATTCTTGTTTCTGCAATGCTTGAGATAAGGGTGACTAGGGCAAAGAGGTCTCCCTTGATTTCGCGGATAGGGACTCCGTAGGAATAAAAGATTGCTAAGGTCACATGTCAAGAACCCAGTCATCGACTTAACTTGGATTATAATTAGTAGACAGAGCTAGAATCACTATTTTCTGTGTACCAGAAGAATTGTTCCTCTGCAAAATTACCTTGCGCTTTCCGGTGACGGTGGAATTTGCTAAGTTTCCCGACGTCCTTGCAGTGACAGTGAATACTGCTGTTTTCGGTATTCTCGGTCGATTACCCAACATGCTGGGTTCCGCTGTTTTTTTTTTATCAATGCCTTCAAAATAAGACTGCTTTTGAGACCTTTTGCCAAAGTAGTAAGTTTCCCGACGTTTTATTTCATGCAGATAATGGGTCGGGTCGTATTTTGAGGCTCATCTGAACATAAAAACCTGGTCTTCGAAGAAAGTAGCTTCACTGCGAAGCTTTGCGATGAATATACTCCTGATAAATCGGCAAACCTCCACTATATTACCTCTCAAAATGCGCTTTTCTAGGGTATTTCGCCGACAGATGTCTTCGTACTTCCAGGGTACTGTCGATGAATTTCTGGCCCGCTCATGCATTTTACTGGCAAATATGAATAACTCCTCTTCCATAACCGACAGAACTGCACTTTGTCTTCTTACTGGGACGAGATTTATCAGTGTTTCAAAATGCCCTCCTCCACGATCCACAGATAGTAATTACTGGATTGGGAAATCTGTATGAACATGCGCAAAGTGAGGGTTGCGAAATTATATATGCCAGTCACTCATCCAACAACCGCAGAGGAGCTTTGCTTGGCACGTTTTAAGCCAATTCAGCCCGTTTCTAGCTTGCATGACCAGTTATTAGTTTCGTACGCCACGTGCAATATGCGGTGGCCACAACATTATCACGTTCTGCGACGAGGCGGTTTGTTGTAACGCTCATACGTTTATCGACAATTTGCGAACTACTTCGATTAATCCGTGGTTCCCATAGCTGGGATATCTGTTAGGAGAGCCTGTGAGAATTCATCCTTTGCCATATAATCCGCCAGTCACCCCATCTCCATAAATCGCATTCTAGAGACAAGGGAGATTGTTTATGATTAGCGTTGCTGATATCCGTTTGTCATATTTGTCGAAGTCAAGTCCGGGGCACCCGGTATCCGTTTTCCTCAACTTTCCTATATTCAGGCGATTCGATCTCACTTCCACACTTACTTTACTCCTTATTTGCAATTTGCCAACCTTGTTTTTTTTTCAGGATCTGGCGTCAATCTCCTCCTCATCACCCCAGAAAAGGCCATTAAGCTAGTCTGCAATGACTTCTTTCGATACCACTTAAAGCCTGAGGGGTAAGTCCGCATTATTTTGATCTTTACCCGGCATGCCTATCTCCAATAATGTCGAATATCCCAAGGCGTCCACAATGACATATGGTTGCTTAATTTTTCCAGTAGTTCACGACCGTCATTACCTCCAGGTGAGGACCCTGTATCGAGAAACATCCGTAAGATAATTCCGAGTCTTGAAATGGACTAACCAGGAACCAGAAAATAAGTCCATGGAAGTGAAATCTCCGAGCGTAATCGACACGTGTGGGGAGACACCCACATGGGTTTCGTATACCAAAAAGGTCTCCCTTGCGTTTGTTTAGTCGCTCACTTTGCACGTGGGTGCGGTTGGCCACCACACCCGTTGGTCGTGTTCCAATTTAACACGATTTGTTTAAGACACCGTACTGTAAACACAGTGTCTGAAAATCCGCTGGCATACTGCCATTGGCCCTCACCCCCTAACTGCCAGGTTTGAACTGTACGGCGTTCTGCGCGTATCTTGTGAGTGGCAGTCGCACCCATACGATAATGTCACCCCAGTGTGACGTATTGGAGCCGCGCCGACCTCCGAACCCAGGGATCGCAGGAAACCACACCTGCAGTAAGCCGTTCCATACGTTCAGCAGTGGGGTAACTACAAATAGTGTACTTTGCGCGGCTGAAACTAAATCACAAAATGGCCTTTACTCCTAAAACTCATAAGCATAGGCATTGTGCATGCAACGGTTCTGGAAAATCCCCAGAGAAGATTATGCTACTCCGTGGCCACGCATTATGTCTGACCGGTCATTTTTCGAGTATTGGAAGTCAGATTGCAGGCATCAAGTCTCGGCAATATGGCCTCTTGCCCAAAACTGCGACTTCAGGCAAGTTTGTTTGACTTCGATGCTGCCGACCAAGGTGCACCCCTCCGATTTACGATGAAGGACATGTTCGAACGGAAAGGTTTGCTGACCATTTTCAAGTTCTTTGCCGTTTACGAGCATTCCTACCCCGATTCCAGTTCTGAAATACCTTGAATTTTGACCCAAGTCCATGGGTTTCCTACGCCTAATGCTCTGTCAGCTGCGCTCGGGAGTTAGTAAACATTTTAAAGTTTTGTTGAGGAAAAAAGCAAGCGTGACTGGAATGCCTGAGGAAGAGTTCTCCCTTGGAACGCCAAAGCAAAAGGGAGCAGTTGTGTTCCTTCCTGAAATCACATTGACGAGGCGCTACTTCCGCATTTAAAATCAAGTAGGAATGGCCTTCATGCAACCAGCTGCGACTTCCAACGAGCCCGACGGAAGCACTAACTTAGGTTACGATGGTCGAAATGCCGTTGTGTGGAAGTATGAAGTAGTTCGTCTGTCAAACTCTGCTGGAATTAACACTATCGTAGAAGACATCAATGGCTTGAAAAGAGGACGGAGACGCGATCGCTGTAACAGTAGGTTTATTAGTCTGAACTTTCGAACTCGCACAAGAGTCCATCATCAGAGGCTGTGTGAGGGAAACGACCGGTAAACATTTTTGTAATCGAACACGCGGCAGGAGAAGGGGTAGTGTCGGTGCCTGTGTCAGGCTCGTGCTGCCTGGCTCACAGTGATCTCACGGCGTGGTGACAGCGTGCGTCTTTGACGGGGAGGTAGGCCACGCCACCTGGCTGCGTGGCGGAGCGCGTGATAACACGGGGGTAAATCAGTGTATCAGTTGATGGGGTTGGTGTCTGACACCCACGCCTCCAACAGTTCTCGCCCCATCTTGTTGCCCGCTCGCGCCAGTATCCGCACGCTCGCAAAATCGAATTCATGGCCTTCCTCCAGCGTGTGACTAGCGACTTGAGACGGTGGGTCGCCTCCCCGAACGGCCCGTCGGTGTTCGAGTACGTGTTAGTGAGCCGTCCTCTTTGGTCTTTGTTGTGGCAAGGACAGTTCTGGCACGGAATTTGGTAAACACCCGATTGCTGACGTGCGTCGAGCCACACGTTTATCTGCATGAACCTGGTGCGCACGGTAACCGCTGGACGATGGGTGGTCCCCACGCCTAACCCTGCCGCAACGCGTGCTGTTGATTCGGACACATTCTTAATGTACGGTAGCGAGCGCCAACTTGGCGGTGTCCTCCGTTTGTTCGTCGTGGGCATGTACGCGTGCATCGGCTGATTAAACTCTTCGAGTAGCCGTTTCTTGCCCTGAGATACCGTACCTCATGTAATATTCCCTCGTGTTCGCTACAGCGTTTTTTTACCCTTTCCAAGAGCGCTGTAACACAGACACGTCTGTACACCATCGGGTGGTTGCCATGTTAGCTGAGGACCTGGGTTGTTAGGCGCCTTTTTATCCACTGTGGTGTTAATTTCACCACCGGGTCTGCGCGCGATGAGCACGTCAAGGAAGGGTAATTGTTCGACTTTCTCTTCTCCTGTGAAGTGGATGTCGGGGAAGATGCCGTTAAGCAGGTCATGAGAGTCCGATAGTCTTCCTCTCTCATTTATGTTGAATGTGTCGTCCACGTATCTGTGCCAAAACGCAAGTTCACAATGGTTTAGAGCGACCTTTTCCAACTTTTGTAGGACAAATTCCGCAAATAGGCTGGATATTGGGGAACCCATCGGTGTTCCTTTGATTTGTTCGTATGTTCTACCATGGTGAAAGGGATCTGCTGAAAGAATGCAAGAAGTTGTATTAGATGCCCACGTTTTAGGGACCCAATCGGTTCGTCGTACTTCTGTTCGAGCCGTTTACGTAACACATCGCACGCCACGTCTGGTGGGCTAGATGTGAATAGTGAAAGAACATCGAAGGGTATTATAATTTGGTCAGGTCGGACTGTTTTTCCCCCGATGTCGACGAGGAATCGGGAAGCTGAAATGGTTGAGGTTCCATAGGCCTCTCGAAGAAAGTTGGGGAGAGTTCGTTACTTGCGCAAGTACACTTTCCTCACACTGGTCTTCTCAGCCAACCCAAGCGCAACAGTGTCATCTCGTTCGATGAATGATGACAGATAAAGCCAGCTGACGCAGCACTGGCCAGGCTCTATGGACTACCCAAAGTCGACAAACCCAACGTCTCCCTGCGACCTATCTTTTCACTGATAGGCAGCCCCACATACAATTTGGCTAAATGGGTGGTCCGATGTTGTCCATCGTTGCATTTCATGACTACCTCATCTTTCACTTTCCTCTGACTGTTTCTGGTTCTAAGTGATTGGGGCAGTCGTACTCGTTCTTAAGCAGCTTCTGTTGCCGGCATTGTGTAAGACGTAGGTTTGGGCAAAACATGTGTGGTATGTGTTGAGTGGAGGCCTTTTGCCACACATCAGCCTTACTTGCGCCAGCTCATGGTGCCCAAAGGGCATAGGGGCTGCGATGGAAGTGAATGCAGTAAGATACCAGTGTCACAACACTGATTCGTGGTGATAGCACTATCACGGTATTCGTGCTAGTATCGATAAACTCTGTGTTAAATACGGCATGAATGACATTAGTTGGGATAGTAGTAGTAGTAGTAGTAGTAGTAGTAGTAGTAGTAGTAGTAGTAGTAGTAGTAGTAGTAGTAGTGGTAGTCGAATTAGTAGTAGTAGTCGAATTAGTAGTAGTAGTAGTAGTAGTAGTAGTAATAGTCGAATTAGTAGTAGTAGTCCGCCCGTGATAGCAGTTGTAGTGGTCCGCCCGTAAGACAGACTGGTAGGGAAATAAGTAATTCTAAATGTTACGACACTGTGTTCCCGCCGTGAATGCTGTCTAAGTATCCCACATCACGCGAATGCCCCTGCTGTTTTTCGAAGTGATGGTAATCCTCTTTGGGAAGGACGCACGAACTACCATGTGTCTCCAGATTGCTTGTCATTTCGGATGGGCAGGAAATTCACCGTCTAGGCGCTGCTGACGCCCAGACCATAATTCTTCGACTGCCAAAACCCCGGCCAATACTAGTTCGCCGGACAGTGCTTGTGTTGGGGCGGCTTGACAAAGGGATCTTTTCCCTTCTGGCTCAGGAGAATGTTCCCATCTAGTCCTATCAAACACGATTTTAAGGTTGCGCTATCTTGACGGTTGACAGCTGAAGTCATGTTCCGCTTATTTTGCAGCCATTCTTACCATGAGGCATGAGGTGCATGAGGCACCTCGCAGATAGCCAGCCAGACAGGTTCAATCTTCGCGTTGTTTCTGTCGTGCTGGTGTGACTGCTGGAAGATTATCAGATTTGTCCTCACCGTAATCGATGAGGGCTATCGTTTCCAGACTGAGCTTCTGATTTCAATGAGCCTGGAAGACGGATCTTCGCGACGTTCTGTTAGGTTATGACCAAATAACGACGGCAACCAACCCACAAATGGTCGTCCTCGTCGGCCTTACCCCTTTTAGATAAGAATTCTAGACCGTCAGTCTGAACATAGGGCATAGGATGTGCTCCAACGATTGGTGTTTAAATTTCGAAAAATTGATACTGGGCCCAAGTGTCCCACATTTTTTCAGGAGCATATCCTCGAACTCCCACTCCTGCGTCGCTAAGCAACGTATCCCTTTTTAGTTTACTCTTCCCACTACTGCACTCGATACCTGCTTCCTGCCCACGGGCTTTGACAACTAGTGCTCCTAAATCAGGTTCACATGTCAGCCACGATTCGTTCAAGTCGCATTCTCAGCGGCCGTAGAATGCTTGTAGGTCTCTGACGTCCTTCAGTCCGACCCTCTTTTCTCACTGACTTGCAGCAAGTCGCTTACACCGCTGCGCGAAATGATTGCAGGAGGTGGCGCTGGTCTGTGCCAAATCATCGTCACTACTCCGATGGAACTGCTCAAAATTCAGATGCAGGACGCTGGAAGGACTGCCAGTGAGTGCTACTTCATCTTCCCTCAGATGGATAGAAACCGTCAAACTTTACTCTGTAGCATCTATCCAACTACCGCTTCCCCCTCCCCCCTCCAAATGACTCTTGGAATGGATATTGTGCCTTCACACGAAAACATATCTGTTCAGAGTAACCAGAGGGGTGACAACTGGTCGTGCTGAGTAGCCGACCTCGTTCCACTTCGGCAGGTGCTAAAGCGCGGCTTATCCTCCGCCCAATCTTGTGAATCATCCACGTCGCTCTTTTCCCACACACGCCAAGTTCCGATTGGAGGAAAAGTGCAAATAGTGAGAGTGAGAGCTGTCAGGCCACTGTAGCCTAGTCCTCAGTGAAAGACTGCGTTTTCCTGGCGTTTGGCAGCCTTCCAAGCCACCACCTGGAGCTTTAAGATCGCTCAAAATTATGTTATATTTATTGTGGTGAGAAAACTGCCTTGGATCCGCCCCACTCCCACTTTCTATCGTTCTTCAGTGGTAAGTCCGAGGCAAACCGACCTGAGACGGAGTTCGGCGCATTCGCTGTCTTCATTGAGCCCCCCTCTTGTGGTACCATACGCGTAAAGGTCCCTATATGCATACGAACTAGACGAATGATATTGGACCCCACAGCGGGGTTATCATAGACTATAGTAAACTGTAGCCTTTGTGGCCTCCTCGCATTCTTTCGGCGGAAGAACGAGTTGCAGCCACGAAACTGCAATTGCATCCTATAAAATCTCCAGCCTCTGTGGGTTCGATACTCCTATCTGTTGTTTTCTCTGTATGGGTTCAAATGTGATTTCGAAGCCTCCGGTGAACGGAATCCCTATTCTGGCGATCGAGTTTTTTGTTTTAGGAGCTTCGTAGCATTGACTGTCAAATCTACTGGTAGTGAATCATCCGAGACTTTTCAGTTGTAAACTCACAATGAGGATTTTTGAGGGGCAAGCGATTTAGGCTTAAGAGGATGGGGCGCCAGATACGTAAATTCAGTTCGTTTTCGTCTGGTTGGGCATATTATATGACGGCATGTTTGTATGTCTGTCTAAATAGTGTTCAGGTTACTAAACCGGCCGGTGCAAGGTCACGTCGTCTGTATCGCGACTGCATAGTTCGCCACAGGTTACTGATCAAGCCCGATAGTCGTTTATTTTACAGCTTGCCATTGCTGACGGTCGTTTGTGCTCTATCGCATAGTAGTATGCTGTCAGATGCTCCTTAGAACAGAAAACAGACAGGATGACAGTCACCGCATGTATGTCAACTCTCATTCGTTCCGCCCATGACGTGCACTCTAGGGTTGTGTTCTTGCTAGCGGCCTTACTGTTCTATTTGTCGAAACCCTCTTATTCGACCCCCAAAATAACACAACGCAGTGGCCTAAGGGGAAGATCAAGGTTTATTCAGGACGATGGGTTGGAGTTCAGACAGGGTAGAGGACACGCGGAGGTCCTTTGGCGGGGACTGGTTGGCCTGGAGATGGTCCTTGGTTGATCCGGCAAGCGAGATGGGCGATGACGTTTGGGGGGCGTGGGGTAGGCTTTGTCCGGTCCAACTTGCCCGGACTTGAATTGTCATCGGTATTTATGGGTCCTCCTGTCAATGCGGGTAGGTTTAATGAATAGACCAGTAGGCAAGAGTCAGTATGGACAATGAAAGGGAGAGCTGGTTAGCGCGGCGCCGTGGTGCCGGTGGATAACCGGCGACGCACTAGGGGGTCTAGAATGACGAATCCGAAATCGGACAAACTGAATCTGCATCCCTATATTCTTGTCTGATTCCCTTGTACCATTGGTTGAGCTCTGAGCGCCGGCTTGGGCAGACTCGCTCGCCGCCGATGCCTAAAGGTCGTGTATAACCTGGCGGCCCGCCAATTGCTGACTCAGGCGCAGGCTTGGTAAGCGAGACTAATCGGCAGCTTGGCGGTTCCTTGTCGCGGGTGCCAGCCGGGCACCACATGCCACCTCCCGCGCCCCCCTAGCAGGGTGCGGTTTGCTTTCGTCTGACGGTGTCTTTTGTTTCGCGTCGTCTGTCTAGATAAAGACCGAATGCTGTTTGTCTGAAGATTGTCGTGGGAATGTCGAACGGAATTTTAAAGCATGACTTCATGTGAAGGACGTGTTGGAAGAAAAAGCTGTTAGTCTATGCCGGTCCATCTTCCAATGTAGGAAATAATCACGATTTTTGCACTGGTTGTTTCATCTTGTGTGACTCCCCAGCATTGTCTTTCTAGTTTAGTTGCTTGAAAGCGTGTTTGAATTTTTCCTGCCTCTTTTTCGTATACATTTCTCAGTATTAGCAACTTTTCCTGTGCCGGTTTTGCGTCCTTTTACTTCGTAGTTGTCTTGTAGTCTAGTCTCGACCTTTAATGTTTGATGAATTGCAAGTTTGAGTCGTTGCGATTTTTTTCTCGAAAAACACCTTGTTGTTCCTAGAATATTAAAGCAGCAAATTATCCGTTGCATTCCGCTTATTTGCAGAACATATGTTGTCGGCTGACAGGTTTTGTATATATTTTGCCCTATCTAGGATTACTATGGAGTTTTTGTTCTCAATCGGCCAATCTGAGGCATGTAGTTTGCAATGGTCAGTGAATAGACGTCAAATGATCAAAAACCAGATCAAGTGAAAATGTTTGTTTCCGCGTCCCAATGAGAACAGATGGTCTCAGAACCTTTTTATGAATTCTCTTGATATTTTAAAGGCCGACAGACATATGCCATTAAAGATATTATTGGTTGATATAGGCGTAGTTGGCTTTAATAGCGCATCAATCACCAGGAGATCATTTGTCCACGTCCTGCAGTGGCAGGGAAAGAGTGGGTGTTATTACTGACGGCGACTGTTCTGCGACTCATTCAGGGGCTGAAACCAGACATCAACTACTCCTAGATAGGACAATTAGGGAACGCAGAGTTTAAATCCTTACTGTAACCGTAGGCAAAGCCATTTATACCCATACGCACTCATTTGACGTGCACTATACTCCGATTAATGAAATTTTTCTCGTTCTTTTAGCGGCCTCTCTGACGGCCAACGGAAGTGCTGTTGCCTCTAGCACGAATCGCCTCTCTGCGACCCGACTAGCGCTAGGTCTGATTCGCGAGAAGGGCATTTTTGGCCTCTATCGTGGTGTGGGTGCCACTGCCTTGCGTGACGTCACCTTCTCCATCATGTACTTCCCCTTGTTTGCACATTTCGACAATCTGGTGCGTAAGCTATGCTTAGCTACCATCCTCATTTCTTTCCGGTTGAACGTGTATACTTTGTTGTGATCTGGATGTGACGTTCAAGCCATGTCATGTCTGTAGTCACGTGGGAGTGGCATTAGGCACTTGATGAGCTGGACTCGGTTTGAAATCTCGTGTCTTCCCAACCCACATTAAGCCATGGCTGCCTAAGGCGACAAGGACGTTAGGAGTGACCATGCCAGTATCTTCTGTATCAGTCTGCAGTGGTTTCAGGCCATCATTCTTTACTTGAAACCAGCCTGTCGCGGTCTTCCAATTCTTTGAAGGCACGATGATATGTTCTCTAAGTCCCTTTGGCCGAATCTACTTTCGTCGCCCACCAACCAGATTGGAGCATGCCGAAGATTTTTCCCCATCCGCAGGCGTCACTCTCACTTAATCTGAACATTCCACAGTCGACAGAGCTTGGGTCTCCTAGTCATTAATTTATGCTTGGACTGTGACAATCATGCCTATTTCCCTCAATAAACTGAACTGAACAACGCAAGTTAGATATTGTCAAGGAGACCTGACCTCAAACGGACTGCGGTGTTGTCGCTCTAGACCAAAACAGGAGCTGTATTGGCCCATGACATGCGCTATTGGGATTGTAGTGAGTCTGCGTGAGTCCTTACTTGTCGCGCGTGTGTAAAACTTGTTGAAAAGAGGCTCACATCAAGTCAATCGCCGCACTCAATATCATTTCCAGTTGGTTGACGGTGTCGAACAAGTCATTGATGCATAAGAATATGACCGACGCTGAGGTACCTTCCTCATGTCAATTCAGAGCATTTCTCACTGCAGTAAATTCTATGCGCTTGGGGCTAATGAAAGACCAAAGTCCTGTCTTGGACGGTTTCAAACCGGCGGTATAACTTGGACCTCCCATGGAACGATGACCAGATTGCCGTGACTCTCCTTAAGTGAGTATGTCAGGACTAAAGTCTACTTCTATCCGGACGCCGAGACGGCACAAACCCCCCTCGGGTGCGGTGGCCTCGTTAGCATAGGTGCAGGCTATCCTTTGCGCCCTCAGGTGGCTTGTAGCATAACGTTCTTCAGGAAAGGCTAACTGCGAAGTAAACATCTCTGAAGTTTGACGAATAAGCAGTCGTTGTCCGCAACATAGTGCGTTCAGCGTGACGGGACAAATGTCTGCCATTCAACGAGACCTCATCTGCCATCCTACACAGTCCCCGAACCTTGATCTGTTGTTCCGTGAGGTAGATGGAGACATGTGTCTGAGCTTTTGGTTAGTACTTGTGGTGTGTGATAAATCGTGCAACGTGTATAATCAGTGTTTTTACTTTTCCTTTCTCTGTTTGTGCAGGGTCCTCGAAGGAAAGACGGAAAGGGAATTGTCTTCTATTGGTCTTTCCTTTCTGGTTGCTCTGCAAGCACTATAGCAGCCTTCTTAGTGACACCGATGGATGGTGAGCGTCGCAACCCTCTTTTTACTTATTTATTACTCTGCGTTATGAGTTACTGTGGTGGGTGCCTCATAGGGTGCGATTTAGGAGTTTCCTTCTGCAGCAGGTATCATACCGCGTCATTACTAACGAGAAATTGGCTGCTTAGCCTTTGGGTCATTCTCAGCCATGGGACAACCGAACCACGCATCGTCTCTTGCTCTGTCCGTCACTTTTCACACTGGCTACTTTTTATAAATCCCTTACGGAAGGCAAGGTTTTGGACTTAAAAGGCCGCCGCATGCCAGTAAATAGTGTTACAGAATTCTTTTAACTCTCGTGGTAATCTATTGACCACTCCATGATTTAGCCAATCAACGCCGATTTCGTCCAATGCCCGCTGGCCAGCTCAGTTTTGGATGTACTGTTGTTTTGAGTCATCTTAACTCTCAGGTAGAGGATGAATGATCATGCTTTTTACAGAAAATTACTGCGTTCCTGCGAAAATTTATTAGTTCTCACCTGTTGGGACTTATCTACAGGTTTAGAACCCGATCAACTTTCAGGCTTGTATTTGTCGGTGAATTTAGAGAGAAGTTATAATCCTTAGTCTCTCCTTCGTTCTGCATTTGTAGTTGTGAAGACCCGATTACAAACCCTCTCTCACATCAAGGGTGAGGCTCGGTTCGATGGCATTCTTGATTGTTTTGTGTAAGTTTTAACTTTATTCCATTTGCTTTCCGTACGAAACTTACTTTCGGCTACCCTGAAATGCGTTTTATGTGTGATGTCCTAAAGGCATCTGTATTATCCATCTGTTCCTGAGGACTTGGGTAGAAGGCTTTCCCAAGCTTTCCTCCCCTTTGCTACAATTACCGGTCTCTACCCCCGTCTCATATCTACCCGACTTGACAACCTCACCAATAGTTTGTGGTAGAAGAGGAAAGATAGTGGCGCTCACTGCGTCATTTCCTCATTATAATGAGTTCGACACGCATTTAATTTGTCAGGCCAGGACGTCAGGAACTCCGCCCAAGTGGAGTATGACTGTTAGCGTAGTCGAGAGCTTTCCTGTGCACCCTCCTGTGGCAAATAGTTTAACGACCGTCGGCAATGGCAAGCTGTAAAATAAACGACTATCGGGCTTGACCAATAACCTGTGGCGAACTATGCAGTCGCGATACAGGCGACGTGACCTTACACCGGCCGGTTTAGTAACCTGAACACTTATTTGGACTGGCATACAAACATACCGTCGTATGATATGCCCTGCCAGACAAAAACGAACTACAAGAAATAATTTTCGACTGAATTTACGTATCTACCTCCCCATCCTCTTAAGCTTAAATCGCTTGTCCCTCAAAAATTCTCATTGTGAGCTTACAACTAAAAAGTCGCCGAGGATTCACTACCAGTACATTTGAGAGTCAATGTTATAAGGCCGCTAAAAAAACCCGGTCGCCAGAATAAGGATTCCGTTCACCGGAGGCTTCGAAATCACAGTGGAACCCATACAAAGAAAAACAACAGATAGGAGTATCGGACCCACAGAGGCTGAAGATTTTATAGGATGCAATTGCAGTTTCGTGGCTGCAACTCGTTCTTCCGCCGAAAGAATGCGAGGAGGCCACAAAGGCTACAGTTTACTATAGTCTATGATAACCCGGATGTGGGGTTCAATTTCATTCGTCTAGTTCGTATACATAAAGGGACCTTTACGCCACAAGAATGGGGGCTCAATGAAGACAGCGAATGCGCCGGACTCCGTCTCAAGTCGGTTTGCCTCGGACTTACCACTGAAGAACGATAGAACGTGGGAGTGGGGCGGATCCAGGGCAATTTTCCTCCAATCGGAACTTGGCGTGTGTGGGAAAAGAGCGACGTGGATGATTCACAAGATTGGGCGGAGGATAAGCCGCGCTTTAGCACCTGCCGAAGTGGAACGAGGTCGGCTACTCAGCACGACCAGTTGTCACCCCTCTGGTTACTCTGAACAGATATGCTTTCGTGTGAAGGCACAATATCAATTCCAAGAGTCATTTGGAGGGGATGGGGAAGCGGTAGTTGGATAGATGATACAGAGTAAAGTTTGGCGGTTTCTATCCATCTGAGGGAAGATGAAGTAGCACTCACTGGCAGTCCTTCCAGCGTCCTGCATCTGAATTTTGAGCAGTTCCATCGGAGTAGTGACGATGATTTGGCACAGACCAGCGCCACCTCCTGCAATCATTTCGCGCAGCGGTGTAAGCGACTTGCTGCAAGTCAGTGAGAAAAGAGGGTCGGACTGAAGGACGTCAGAGACCTACAAGGATTCTACGGCCGCTGAGAATGCGACTTGAGCGAATCGTGGCTGACATGTGAACCTGATTTAGGAGCATTAGCTGTCACAGCCCGTGGGCAGGAAGCAGGTACCTAGTGCAGTAGTAGAAAAAGGAAAGGGATACGTTGCGTAGCGAGGCAGGAGTGGGAGTTCGAACATATGCTCCTGAAAAAGTTTGGGACACTGGGGCCCAGTATCAATTTTTCGAAATTTAAGCACCAATCGTTGGGGTACATTCTATGCCCCATGTTCAGACTGACGGTCTAGAATTCTTATCTAAAAGGGTATGGCCGACGAGGACGACCATTTGTGGATTGGTTGCTGTTGTTATTTGGCCATAACCTAACCGAAGGTCGCGAAGATCTGTCTTGTGGGGTCACTGATGACTAAATTCCAGAAATTTGCTCGTAAGCAACGTGGGACCACTTTTACTCCGACATAGAATTTTTCTTTATGGGCGATGACTACGACCCTGTGGAATATTGACGATCCTAATCACCGATTTTGTGTTCATTCGTGCTACGGTGGTCGTCGCAAGTAACGAAACATTTTCTGTTATTCTTTCATGGTTCTCTCCATACGGAAACTAGCTATGATTCCTGTCACCCCCTGTGGAATTTCGCCCCTCAGTGAAAAAAATTTGATACGTTAAGTATTTGAGCCTCCCAGTTTACTTTGTTTAATTTCTAATATGGTCTTCATATGATGGTTTAATTTGCACCCGTTGAAAGCGCGAATAAAGGTTTCGTCCATCCACCAACCTAACAGCAGTGTGTGATTTAGAGAAAGTTTCAGCGCAATGTATGAAACGGGCATGCACTTTTATATAATATACAAAGGACATACTCGTTCAGCGAGTTTATTTATGTGCAGTTTTATGAAAAAATATCAAATGGCCAATCGCAGTTTGCGTTGGTCGGTCGTATGTGGTAAATGCAAACATCTGACGTCTAACGTGAACTCTACGGCCTCCACATTATGCCGTAGCGGGCAAGACTGGTGAGCCTCACTGGCTGTAATCCAAATGGTACGTGGTTGTTGTGAATTTTGTTTATTGGCCTGCCACGATGCGCGAAATATTATTGTGTCACATGCAGGACTCTTGTGACTTAATTTATTAACCGAAACGAAACAGTATGAATTAAAAGTCCACATTTTGCTCTTAACTGTACAGTCTTCTGTCACTAAATGTATCAATCATGCCCGTGGGCTTCTCAACCCTGTTCCGTTAATATGCATTAATCAAAGTAAGGACATTTTATATAAGTAGCTTTGACACGCCAGGTATATTTTTCGTTCGCGTTAATCAGGTTAGTTAAGGTGTGAACATGCGGGTTCTTTACGATGCGGAGAATGCATTTGGCTTAAAAATCGCGATTTTTAAATCTGTATATTTTTGTGTTGTAAGACACTAAATCCAACGGGCAATCTGTCTCTTTATCACAGCGACGACGTCCAAGCATAATCGATTGGTAGAAGAGATGTCCACTGGAAGGGATTTATTCGAGGCCTGGAGTGTAGAGTAAAGATTTCTTCTATCTCCAGAAACTGATGTGCTCTCTGCACACCTGTCATATTATATCCAACTAGTTTAAAAATGACCACGATGTTGCCTAGTATGCCTTAACCACTTGGCTACATGGCACGTTGCAACACAGATTTTGCGCGGTTTACTCGTCGACTAATACTGTAGCTGGCTTCTCTCATCAAATATTAACCGAAATTTTTTTTGTGTTTTCCATTACTTCGGTGGGACTATAACATTGACTGTCATGCAGCATAATCTCAAGGTATTTCCGTCATGCCTGGATATCAGCTACTAAATGAGCTTACTTCTGATCGTTTGGGAAAACCACTCTTGTTGAAGAAATGTCTGCTTTGTACATTACAGAAAGCATGCACAAAATATTCATTCTTGTGCTCATTTGGTAAAAAATTGTATCCTACTCAAATTTTATGCTCGACGAAGGGATATCTTTCGGTTTTAGAACATCGATTCCCAACTAATTTTGAACCCGACTTGCATTTTAATTTGCGCCTAAGGTTTCCAAACTACATGCTGTATGCTTTCCATGTAGGGAATATCACATTTCTCTACGCCGTCAAACAGATGTCATATAGGACCCGTAAGATTTTGCAGTGAATGTGAAAGATCTTGCGTACTTTATAAACAGCACTTATGAACAGACATAATGCTGTATGAATGAACATTTCACAGTCTTAGAAAACTCATAATAACGGAATTTCTAAAACCAGGGAAGTACTCTTTTTCTTGTGTAAAATTTGAAGAAGACGCAGTTTTCTACAAAATGGGTGCAAGAAACTATTTTTGTACATGCTTCTATAGCATATATTTGGATTTAGGAGGGCATCGAAAATGAGTGCGAAAGTGCTTACTACCCAAGTAGGTGTTTTCTTCCCGAGTGCGGCTTTTGCAGGTGATCGAAAGGAAGCGCATTCGAAAGCCGACATCCTGCTGTGATCGAAATATCTTGAGATTATGCAGTACGATAATCAATATTACAACCCCTTTTCAGTAATCCTTCCTAGTCGGAAACACAGTTAGGAATTTTGGTCAACATTTCATGAGATAGGCCACCTACTGTATGCACATTAAAAGGGTAGTGCGTGCTGCGCGAGAACTAGTTTAGTATTTATGGGGCCACCCGACAGAACGTTGGAAGTGGGCCAGTAATGTAGGAAAGAGGGCGAAAACGGCCCTAAAGTGGACGGGGGTTTATTTTGTTAAATACATCAGAGTACCATTATCACTCTGGTACCAGCCTGCAGGGGTACAATTTGTCAAATTTTCACCTGACCTCCAGAAGGGGATTAAAACATCCGTTTTCAGAAATTAAATACTATAGAAAAGGTTTTCTAAAGTACAAAATTTGCAACGGAGCATGCTCGCCGCAGTTGTTTGTTGTTTAAGCGTATTGCTCATGACGATGTGATTTTCAAATCATTTTAAAATACGGCTCAAACGTCCAACTGCAACAGAACTCCCCTAAGGCCACACTACGTCGATAAATGCCTTAAGATCCCTCCTAACATGATAGCATCAATAACTACAGTGAGTGACCGATCTCATGAAATGTTGGCTGAAATTCTGAAATGCGTTTTCGATTAGGAAGGATTACTTGGGCGCGGTTGTAATACCGATTATTTTGCGGCATAATCTTATAACATTTCGGACTCGGTAGGATGTCGGCTTTTGAACACACTGCTTTTCAATCTCCTGTAGAAACTGTACTGGGTAAAAAATGACTGCTTAAGTATCATGCATTTTCCCATTGATTTTCGATAGTCTTGCACATTCAAATATATCTCATAGGAACCATAAACAAAAATATGCTTTCTTTCAGTCAATTAATAAACAATCATGTCTTCTTTATATTTTAGACGCAAGAAAGGAATATCATTAGGTTTTCAAAAAGTTTCTAACTATGAGATTTTGTAAGACCTCGCAATGTCCATCCACATAGCACCGTACCTCGCCGTTTACACAGCTCCTCATAAAATGTACAACATAGCCCGCATCCATTACAAAATTTTATGGACTCTGTATGATATCTTTTTAATGGCATAGAAAAATATGTGATTTCCTTTACGCTCAACGCATGCACCTTATAGACTGAAATCAGTAAGCGCTAATACAACGAATGATAAGGCCAAACTAGAAGATGATTTCGTTTGTTCAATTGTACAAGCTCTTCACAGGATTGAAATTTTTCGTTAGGTAACATGTTGATAGGCCGGTTGGTGACTTAGAAATTATAATATAATTAACAGTCGTATCATTATATGCATCAGGAGACGTATTCTTCTGTGAGATTGCCGTGTTTTATGGAGACGGTAGAGTCCTTGAGCACAAAGGCGTCCCTGAGGTATCAGTGCATATTTGACGGTTTTCGATGTTTCCTATCGATTGCTCAAACGTATAGATTCTAGTTTTCGGTTATTAAAACTCCATGTAAGACGGGACGTAAAAGCTTTTGCTCGTGTGGTGGGTCGTTAGGCTTCCCTTTTTGCTCCAGATGACCGAACATACTTTGTTTTGGGACAGCGTCCGTTATCTGCTTGATTCTAGTCCCGTATTATATGATTATAACGTTTCGCTACAGTGGGCATATGAGTACTATAATAATCTTCAAACGGCAAACGCGATACCCGTTCAGTTTCTAAGTTACTTATTAGTTGAGATCAAACCTCACAAGAAACATTTTACCGTATACTCCAGTTTAAATGGCTGTTTGAGAGGAATGGTCGCTTCGCGTTTTCTTGTGTAATTTTATGGGCCAGGCGCCGGAAAGTGGGATATTCCTTCACCTGCTAGGCAAATACGCTGGATTCTTAGCAATAGAAATTGCCCGGATATAAAGGGAGACTAGCTTTCGTCCAAAATGAGCATTTTTGTTAATGAAAACTGCATGGTCAGATAACTAAAATCTACAACGTCCGCGGTACCCCAAGCTGACTATTTAGTTTTCGGTCATCATCTCCCTCTGTCTTCTAGGAAAACGTTCCGGGCTGAAGGTTTGCGAGCACTTTTCAAAGGCGCAGGTTGCCGCGTCCTGGTGATGGCACCCCTCTTTGGTATCGCACAGACGGTCTACTATCTGGGCGTGGCCGAATATCTGCTCAGTTTTGGATTCAAACGTTTCGACTAACAGCTCCCGTAGATTGTAATTAATTCCATCACCCTCCCTACACTTATTGGAGCAACTCATCTTCTGACCTTTATTTGCATTCTATTGCATACCCTATTTTCGTACATGTACCTTCTCTTAGGGTTGTGGTTCGCTTCGTCAGCCCTGGCACTGATGCCAGTTCGTCTGACAAAGTCTTTCGCCCTCCCTCGTGTTTTTTTAAAGAAAAAGTCCTTTGAACTACAACCATGCGCCGACTCGTTTTCCATAGCCGTAATACCATTGTTAATTGACTCCTGACATTCCTGTTGCACATGCCTCAATAAAAATTAGTTGTTATTCTTCCTTGTGAACGCTGTCTGCCTTTACTATCCCTTTCTTGGGAGGGCGAGATGACCGATTTCGAATGGTTCAAACGCTTCAAGACCGACTAAGGAACAGCGAGGACGTACTCGATTCTCAGAACTCCCATCTGTTCTCTCCCGGGACATAAGTGCCTGCACTTGCGAACTGACAGATGTTTACTTCTTACTTATCACCAGGACCAGACGATTGCACTGGATGCGGCTGTTTTGTTGGGTTCGTGAGACCACTCTCCTATTCGCTGAGGATTGCCTAGTTTTCAGTCACATGATACACATTCGTAGAGCCGGTGCAGTTCTAGCACGGGATACGGATGCTTCGTTTCGTTCTGGAGCTCTGTTTCAGAACCCTTGCAGGATGCCATGTTACATCATGTATCTGATGCTAGGACTTCCGACTAGGACTAGGACTGATCGACTGGACCTGTGTTCGAATCCGCTTTTTAGTTCGAGTTTGGGGTATAGCTAGATGACGAAAAGGTCAAAAATAGTTACTCTGGTCTCTATTGTCGCGACAACCCGCTTAATAGCAGGGCGTTAGACATTAGCGACGCAGCGAATTCGACCGAGTGGCCGTTGCGACTAAAGATTGAGTGTTTTGAGTATCTGGTTTAGTTTGTTCATAAATCAAAGGAGGGACCCACTTGTTCCCTATTATTGATGAGTTAAGTGCCATACGCAGGTATATTGCTCCACTACACGAAAATATTATTAGTATCATACGCAGAGAACGGGTCGTATTACAGGAACAAAAGAGTAAATTAAAAAGCAAGATGCTAGAAAGGGGATCCAAATCTTCCGCCGTGTCTTCAGAAATGTTGTGGGCTTCGGCAATAAAATAATAGGGAGGTCATAACACTGAGCTGTTCGGTCGGGGTGCCGCTGGATTCGAGCCAAGCCAGAACCACAACAATACCCGCCAGCAAGTCCAGGTTGCATGGTTTTCGGTAAATCTTATAGATGGATAGGATGTAATACTGCACCAATGTATCTGCCTAACTAGGAAAACAAGCGTGTGTGGGTAAAACACCCGGGCATGTGATTGGAATTTTATCTTTCAGCATGCATGCGAAGGTTATACGGCATCAGATGCCTAACTCAGTTTTATAGTTGAAGTGATTTATCGCGGACGAAATGATAGAAGAATGGCCGAATCAGCGGTCACCGGGGTGTTCAGGGTTATAAAGAAAACTTGCCGTGGAGAATAATATGTGGTAAACGCCTTAATTTCAACTTCTTAATATTCTCGGAAATTCGTGTGACAGCTTCTGGTAGATTATCTGGAATGAAGCTTTATGATAGGCTCAGTTCGGAAATTGATATGAATATTTGGGCCGAAACCCATCAGTTACAGCAGACAACCGGGTAATCGTAAATTGTGTGTAGTTAGTACCTATGCCGTCAGTATGGTGACTTGTGAATCATGAATATATTACTGACTGTCTGTTGGTAGTTTGTGAATATTATGCTGCTATCCCGCTGTGGCTGGTGGACATCGACTCAAATACTCATATTAGCATTTGAACTGTGCCTACATAACTTCATTCCGGATGCTTTACTCCAAGTTAACGCATTAATTTCTGAGACTGAAAAACTGAACAGGCGCTTGTCGGAAGCTTTAGTGGCTGTGATTTTGATGTTTCATAGGTGATTTCAGCCGCGTCCATTACCTTGTAGGCTGTGGATTAAACATTGGACAGTTAATATTCGTCAGGTGCGGTCGAGTTTTGTTACCAGTAGTGTTGAGGTTTCTAAACCCGAGTGCTCTTCTTTGGCATGTTTTTAAAACCAACATTCTTACTCTCCACATTTGCAGACGATCAGCACGGCTCCTAGTGATTCGGACAGAAATATTGCACCGTCATTTTCGCTCAGTTCTTTCGGGGTACCCATGCCAAGCCCAAACCAATGGGTTTTCTCCGCGTGATTGTGTATTCCACTAGTCGTATGCCAATTCCTGCTCATCTGGCCTTACTGCCGGAAAATGTAGACAGGTCTGATCTTACCTTCTGCGGCTACTGGAGGGGCTGCCAGGTTTCGAGCTAGAAATTACAACTACAGGAGAGCGTTCGGAACACTTGGACATCACACCATAGGCAGAATAGTCTTTGAAGCCTCATGAAGCACGCCAAGGCTGTCGTTAGCGTCTCCTATTCTGGAGGTTGCCGCCATGAAATTCTGACGGTTCTCCTGTTTGCACTGAAATTTCGCATGTGTAACTTACTGGTACCGCTTTTGTTGACTGAAAGTAAGTAAAAGTCGGTACTGGTTATTAATTGGTCAGTCAACAGCCAGTGTTTTAGACCAGTTACCTGTGCTCTCATAGTCAGTTAAACCTGTACCATCAGCTTTACCTTTCCGACGTCTGATTTGGGAAGACAGTATTCTTGGGGAGGGTAGCTGTTTTTGCTCCCTCAAGCCTTTCTCTTTGTGTTTGGAATAATGACTGGGCGAGTTAAGCCAAAAAAACCGACAAATGCTTTTCCAAACCAAATGCGAACAAATCTAGTGCTGCATGTGGACTTTGTCTAGCCGCAAAGGTCTGAAAAAGCTTTAGAGAAAATCCAAACGCGGTGGGGTAAACAGACAACTTCTGTGTCGTGGGGTGACCCTGCTGAGAGTGAGGCGAAGAACAAGAGGAGACAGTCTAGCACTAGTGCACTACCAAGGGCGTGGTCCAATTGTTCACACCAGTCTGACTTCTATCTCCTTGTTTCAGCCTCAAAATAGCTTAAAGGCGCTTAGCCGTTATGCGCGTGTTGGGGCACACGAGCGATCGCCACCCAGACCCTAGTGTTCCAAAGGGAAGCGCTTGTGAGGATTGTGCGTACGATTATGTGGTATGCTAGAGTTGCTTTGCTGCAGGCCAATCAGTAAGTCTGTGCAGCAGTGTCAGCCAACAAAGGCCAACTGAGCTGGGTGAGGTGTGTGATTCCGACCACAGGCACATGGTGTGCGAAAAACCGCCACTACCCCTAGGTTGGCCCACTGCCGACATATACGAATTTTAATGAGTATTTTTGGCAGATTTGAATAATTAACTTGACCCACTTGTGAAAAACAGGGCGACCTCGGTTGGATTTGAACCCTACGACAATAGGGGCAAGGCTTGAGTAATACCAACGCCCTAACCACCTAAGATGTGAGGCTCCACCGGGAGCCGTGATGGTTAAGCTCACAATAATTATTTTCTTGTGACGGCTTCTCACGTTTCATTCCCTCCGTGTAAGGATCACTTATCGGTCTTTAGACCATACCATCGACACCTTACTGCCTAAAGTGCCATTTTTTAGCCATAAATGTGCCCGGTTTTTGCCCACCCTACTTGTTATTTTTTGGTTGACGGGACAGCATCTATATGGAAGACTTATATGACCATATATTCATATGAGTAAAGTTAGTTAGACGGTTACTCATGTGCCTTCCGGAAACAGCACCTAAGGAGAGGGGACATGTGTCAGTGTTCTATGCTATTAAGTAGTTATTTTGAACCCATGATCTGAAACCTTTCGCTACCGAGTCAGGTAAAACTTACGGTAGATGTGCTAACTCACGAAATGTCAACCAAAATATCGAAATGCGTTCTCGTTTCGGAAAGATAAATTAAGTAGTGTTGTAAAACAAATCATGGTGCAGCATAAATCTATAATGGTCCAATTACCGCAGGGTGTCGGCTTTCGAAAGAATTTATTTTCGGCTGCATGCAAGATCTATACTCTGCAAAAAATTACTACATAATTAGCATGCAATTTTCTCATTGATTTTCGATGCCCTTGAAAATTCAATTATATTTCATGGAAAACATGCATAAAAATATTCATTCTTTTACATATTCGGTAGAAAATCACGTCTTCTTCCACTTTCATACTCAATAGAAGAGTATAATTCGGTTTTAAAAAAAATTTCTAATTGTGAGATTTTTTAATACCGCTAAATGGCCGTTCATGAAACGTCATGTGTCTGCATTTACGAATGTGGTTTGTAAAGTTAACAATATTGCTCAAATCCACTGCTTAATTTTATGAACCTCATATGGTCTCCTCTTCACACCGTAGAGAAATGCATGGTTTTCCGTACACGGAAAATATACAGCTTGTAGTTTTGAAACCCTGAATGCAAGTGTAAAAGCACGTCGGGTTCAACATTATTCGGGAATTAGAAAAGTTTATTTAAAACCGAATTATACTCTTCTATTGAGTATGAAAGTGGAAGAAGACGTGATTTTCTACCGAATATGTAAAAGAATGAATATTTTTATGCATGTTTTCCATGAAATATAATTGAATTTTCAAGGGCATCGAAAATCAATGAGAAAATTGCATGCTACTTAACTAGTCATTTTTTGCAGAGTATAGATCTTGCATGCAGCCGAAAATAAGTTCTTTCGAAAGCCGACACCCTGAGGTAACTGGATCATTATAGATTTATGCTGCATCATGAGTAGTTTTACAACACTACTCAATTTATCTTCTCGAAACGAGAACGCATTTCGAAATTCTGGTTGACATTTCATGAATTAGCACATCTACTGTAATTGTAGTGCTACTTACCGATTAATTGTAAATGCCTGCAGCTCTATCTTTCATACGGTCAGCCCAGACACTCGTCGATGTTCCTCATACAGGTACGCTGCTTGATTCCGATACTATATACTCCTAT